TCCATTTTTACACATATTAAAGGATGTTGACGATGGATACCAAACAGCAGTCGATTTTACAATAGATGACAGGCGTACTTGCCCACCTCAGGTACGGGTGCAGGAGTAGATTCCTTCATCGTGGTAAAAAATACAAAATTACTGTTCGGTCACTTAAAGATTTAAAGATGTAGTTAAACCCGAGTAGCGCTCAGTAGAGAGTGTTAAGTATAAATAAATAAATTCAATGAGAAATGCCGTTTGGACTGCATCCTGCTGATTAACTAATCACGTTCATAAAGGATATAAGATTTTCTCTAGCAACGGGCAATGTGGAGATACCCATATATTGGTTTTTAGACACTAAATGAAGATGTCAAATTCTACCTTATATACTCTATATTCTGTTATCTGTTCCGATCCTCTGGTCCGGTCCTGAATCAATCTTTTCATTGAGTCCGGTCATCTGGGCCGGTCCTAACTCTCGGCCTATGTTACTTTCTTTATACAACAGACATACTTCTGAAAGATTGCTGCACTTATGCCTGACGCTTGAAACCCCACTTTTGACATATGCAGGCGTAGTCGTCAGATATAAGTGGAGAGAGTCGATAGCGTTAGTCATAGGTTCATAACGTGTGGCACTGTGGCAGCCTGAAGCGTCAGGCTTACGTAACAGGTAATTTTGAAAGGCAGTTTTATGCAGGCAGGCCAGCATTTTCAAATTTATCTGTCAAAATTTTATTAGACCAAACCAACGTAAATTTAGCACCCACCTGGTAGTAATCGATTTTGGGGGAAATGAAACTTAGTGGAATGATGACAAAATTGCTATCTCAACATCAGCCAAAAGTAACAAAAAATCGAACAAATACGCGTGGAGATACTTATATTGAAGCTATTCTGTGCGCTGTAAGAGATATAGCTATTGTCAATATGGATGTGAGTGGCCTATTACCTCTCGGGAGTTCTCTATTATGTCAGATACCCTTATCTCGTTTGACAGGGGTAGTGGGTGTCGACGCTAGTTTCATACTCCACATGCATATGAGTGCACACGCATCGGAGATCGTTATTGAAGGAAGGTATATTGGTTTCTTGCAGGACTGTGCATCGTCGTTTACAAAAATCGGGTAACGAGAAAGTGTAAGTTATTATTGGTATTCGACTGTTATCGGGTTACAGAGAATCTGGTTAATTTTTACCGAACCCAGGAAAGGGAGTTCAATGAAGCTCGCGAGAGTGCAGGAGCTGTAGATCCGTTTGGTCTACACGCTGCTAAAATGCTCATGCTGCTTTGTATAGGTATGTGTATATAATACATCGTTACACTTATGGCAGCAGAACAACAACTCAGCAATACGAAGGTGTTGTACAATATTTGATGGGTTTTGATTCTGACATTAGGATGTGACAAGTTGGTATTTGATAGAAGATGGCGCATTGGAAGTGCACAGGTGTTTTTCCGCGAACGTTGCACTAGAATTAACGTACAACGTGTACTGGATCAAGAGCCCGATGTATTGACAGATCAACAGCGTATTTTTCTCAACGCTACAGTTGCCTTAAACTTTGACAAAACAATATTGTTAGCGGCACTATTGTTGGAAACTGACTTTCGTAAAAGGAATGAGGCAACGTGATCTGTGTAATCTACTAGCTGAGCAAGTGGCGAATACTCTGTAGAATTGGGGTTACTAAGTGTGCACGAGCAGGACGAAGATGCAGTTGAAGAAATGCTCGGAGTTGAGCAGAGAGTCAACGTAACATTTTTTACTCAACCTATTTACTTGTATAGGTGTAGATGCTTTGCTTCTTTCTTTACCACAATGGTAACAGCTAGGTAACAACTAGCAGGATTAACTGATGGCGAGATTGCTGTTAGAATATGTGCACCATTGTTTGATATGCATGGGCGAGATATATTGAATTATATCAAAGGATGTTATGAGGTAGGCTACCCGCCATGGTTATATGTTTTGAGCAATATGATGGGTCTCCCGGGAATTCCTTTTGAGCGCTTGAACTTTGAAGCTGACTTTATCAATTCTTCAGCGTGGTCAGTTTTACAGCTACGTCAATATGCAATATAACGGTATATAGTTATACCTAAAGAATATGACAGAAGGACAGAACTCATATCATATTTACAGTGTAACCTAGTGGCGATGAAGTGCCGGGTGTAAAATTACATATATCGCTTAAAACATGTTAGCGGCACTATTGTTGGAAACTGACTTTCGTGAGATTGCTGTTAAAATATGTGCACCATTGTATGATACGCATGGGCGAGATATACTGAATTATATCAAAGGATGTTATGAGGTAGGCTACCCGCCATGGTTATATGTTTTGAGCGATCCTTTTGAGCGCTTGAACCTTGAAGCTGATTTTATCAATTCTTCAGCGTGGTCAGTTTTACAGCTACGTTAATATGCAATATAACGGTATATAATTATACCTAAATAATATGACAGAAGGACAGAACTCATATCATATTTACAGTATAACCTAGTGGCGATGAAGTGCGTCGGGTGTAAAATTACATATATCGCTTAAAACATGTAGCGTCAATGGTACTGGTAGGCAGAAATTTATATACGTACAAGTTAATGTGACAAGCTCTATGAGATCTGGGCTGATGGATGTAATATACACATGCGGTTGTGGGCAGAGATGCAGGTACTACTGATTTAGTGTTCGAGTCCATTGAGGATCGCTTTTGTACTGTATCCGTTGGGATTCGACTGTGCAGTTGAAAGCATCCAGTCCTTGCCATAATCACGTTGATTGTGTTCACGTGAGATTAGCAGATTAAGGATCAACGGGATCAACAGATGGAGTCAATACTTGGCTGAAACTGTCTAGAGACAAAAAGGTTAATCCAAACCAACTCGTTGTGGACTTATGCGATGACTACAAAGAGGTGAGTAGAGATTTGGCATATGTTTCTGTTCGTAAGCAATTCAATCCTCTTACACACAGATAGGTCTGAGCTCAGCAACCAAATAAGGATAAAGAGCTAAATCTGCTCTTATCCTATCGTCAAGCAAAACTCGAAATTAGCAAAACCCTTGGATATTACTGAATAAATATATTTATTTACAGAAACGATGTATCACATCGATAGGCTCAGGTGGTGGTACTGCATCAACTTGTTAATCTCTTATTACCGGTGGAGCCATTTCTGAGCTCTGAGACATTCACCAATCCGTAATTGGTGGTTTGAAGTTCACGAAACCTCTGGCCACTTGTATTTTGTGGTCTGCTAAGTCTGATTCTGACAAGCTAATGACACTTCCATATAGATGATTTATGGCACTATAGTTCCTCAATACTTTCAAATTACGTTTAATTGTTATTCTGTTCTCTTTTGATATGGCTCGATCGCTTTCTGCGAGAATGCCAGCTGTCCATTTTGTTTCTTATGTGGAGTGCATATATAGATCGTATTTCGCTCCAACTTATACCTATCAGTTAGTACTTTGTCGTATAAGTAGCAAACGAACACATTGGAAACACTTTATGAGTTTGGGAGCATCGATCATACGGTACGTATCATATTTACATATTTATCCTCATCATGAATTCCATTGTATGTAGATGCGCCACAGCAGTCTCGTGTGATATGACAGATGTATGTATTCCCGGATGCCACAAAATCATGTTTCAGAAGGCAATAATTAAAATACTCCCTGAAACAAGCAGAGCATAGATCATTAGACGCGCTAGCCGGAGACTGTATATTACGCTCAGTATAGTCTCCAATGTACAGTGCTACGCCAGAGTTAAGACCCAATACATTTTTGGTACGTGTTGGTGTGCACTTGAAGGCTTGTTCGAGTGTCGCAAATGGCTGTCTCTTTGTGAATATATAGGATAGCGCAAAAGTAAATGTTATGTTGTACCTTCTAACGGTTAACTTATGCACCCCGAAGACATTGTCGGCCGTAGACATCGTATCTCTAATGTATGTGAATACATACACAAGCATAACTAATTGCTCCCAGGTTGTAAATACGGGATTACCACCCGTAGTTGCCGTTTCATCCTCAATATCTGTACCACCACTATCTCCTGTATCCTGAACTATCATAGCAGCCGTAACACGAGTGCATATCTTATGATTCAAGCTTGTCAGATTTGTAAGTCTGTCGTTATAGTTCAGATACTCGCATAATAATCGAAGTACCGTGATGTTCGGCTATCCTGTATGCTTCAGACAGAAAGCCCGGTTCTCTGAAGATCGAAGGAACTTCATAAGTTGTATAAAACCTCTTGCTCTTGGTGTATCGCATCATCGATTTCTTGTTGTGTACGTAGTTTTAACTTCTTTATCCATTTCGTTTCGAATACTTTTGAATATTGCCGTAGTAATGATGTAAGTATGTCAGATGCTTGTGTTGGTGCTACCTCTCATAGAATTGCCTGAAATAGTGGAGTTGAGATGGGATACAATACCTCCGAATTCTCTACAGTTAACTGATCATGTTCTCTCAATGGGAGTAGCACGGTTGAGTAAGTGTCTGAGTGTAGGCAAAGCTTTTATTTTTAAAGGTACTCTAAGAACTGGGTTTCAGGAAAATGG